GTCCGTCCGACGGAGCGCCGCCCGCAGCCTTAACCCGCACCGCGCCGCGCTCCTCCGCCCCCGCCTTCCTCCCCTCCTCCTCCTCCTCCCGTTTCTCCTCCCCCCCCCTCCCCAGCGCACAGCCCCGGCCCCGCAGCGCACGGAGCCCCGGGAGGGGGGGGAGGGGAGGGGCCGGGGGTCCGAGCGGGGGAGGGGGGGGAAGGGGTTTCGCTCATCCCCCAATGGCACGCGGTGACCCCCGGCTGAACCCGAGGGAAGGGCAAACCCCGGGCTGACCCCCCGCCCCCCGCGTGTGCACGTGTGTGTGAGCACGTGTGTGTGTGTGTGTGAGAGCACGTGTGTGTGTGTGCGTGTGTGTGTGCGTGTGTGTGTGTGTGCATGTGTGTGTGCGTGTGTGCTGCAGCATGCGGGTGTACGTGTGGTTGTTCCTGCACACACACACACACACACACACACACATGGGTGCTCTCACACCTGCCTGCACTCCCACGGTACGCAGGGCAACATTTGTGCACACGTGTGCAACCCCACAGTGCATGGGGCACACACTGCACACACACGGCACACGGGGGCTGTGCCCACCTGCATGCACTCCCAGCTGCTGCTGTGTGCACTCTCAGAGGGCACGCTGTGCACACGCGTGTGCATCCCCTCACCATAAGCCACACGTCTGTGTGCATTCCCTGGCCCAAAGCTGTGCATAGCAGTGACCTCCTGCAGCACACACAGCAGGCTGCGCACACACACGTGTGCACACCTGCACACGCAGCCATGTGTCCACACTGAGGACAGGAATGCACACACACACACACACACAGCTCCCTGCACACACGTGCACAGCGTGCCACGGCAGCTCTGCTCTGCAGGGAGGGGAGGGGAGAGCAGTGCAGAGATCCAGGGGGTGTGCATGTGTGTGTGCGTGTGTGTGTGTGTGTGTGTGTGTGTGCGTGTGTGCAGGGCAGTGCTGGTTACATTGCCACCATCCGTGCGGGCTGTGCTGAGCCAGCAGCTCTGCGAACAAAAGCCCCGCGCCGCTCCAACTTCCTGCAGCCAAATGACAAATGTCTGCTGTGAGTCACTGCGCTGCGCTGGGAGGAATGCGGCGGCCGTGGGGGGCGAGCACAGCGCTGAGCTGCATGGCACTGCGTGGCAGTGTGCAGTACTGCATGGCACTGCATGGCACTGCATGGCACTGCATGGCACTGCGTGGCACTGCGTGGCCACAGCAAATCCACAGCACTTCCATGTTACATCCATGATATACCCGTGATACATCCGTGACAGATCCGTGACACACCTATGGCAATTCCATGGCTCTTCTGTGGCACATTCATGTCACTGTATGGACACAGCGCATCCACAGCACCACGTGGCCGTGGCACACATGGCACACTGTGGCACCATGGCACATCATGGCAATGTGGAAAACCATGGCACACATGGCACACTGTGGCACACATGGCACACATGGCACACATGGCACACTGTGGCACACACGGTGGCACCGCAGGGCCGTGTCCCACACATCCGCACGGCCGCCACGCCGGGCAGCACATCCGGCCCCGCTGTGGTGACAACAGGAACAAACACAGATTAAGAAAAAAGGAAAGAACAGAAAGGAGCACAGCTCTGAGCGACGCCACGCAGCCCGGGGGAACCACACCGGGGTGGGACACGGCCTGTGGGGACAGCAGGATGCGGGCAGGGCCCCCCCACACCGCCACCAGAGGGGCTCCCCGTCCCCTCCCCCTACCGCAGCCCCCCCTCCCCCGCGGGGCCGTTCCCCCCACGCTCCCCCCGCACCGCTGACAGTGATGGAGCGCTGTGCCCTTATGCGCCGTCCCCACCGCCCCTTCCCCCCCACCATGGAGGCCCCCCCTTCCCCCCCACCGCCCCCATCCGGGCCCCCTCGCTCTCCACCCCGCGGCCCCTGGCCTGCCAGGAGCACGTTTCGCTCATTAATTTTTAAAAATTAATTAATTACGGGGCGCTGTGGGGGAGCGGCGGCAGCGCAGAGGAAACCGGAGCTGGCGGGGTTGGGTGACGGCGCAGCCCCCCAGCACGGGGGGGGGGGATAACGGGGACACAACGGGGACACCCACCCCAGGGATAGGGGGTGGGGGGGAGCTAAGCTCCTGAGGAATGGGGACGGGCAGAGGGGACGGATGGAGGGTCCCCAGTGCAGCGCCGGGGGTCACAGCCCCCCCAGAGCTCCTCTATGGGGCAGAGGAGGGGACCCCCCCCCCCGGGGCATCGCTGCACTGCAGCTCTGCGCTGACAGCTGCGTGCACGAGGGCGTGCTCTCTTGCACACACGTGTGCGCAGCACTGCAGGAGCTGAAGCGTGCGTGCACGCACACCGCCAGCTCTGCACCAAACACAGCGCGCTCCAAAGGCAGTGGGGGGTCCTGCAGCCCGGCTGTGCCCCCCGCGATGAGGAGGGGCTGCGAGGGCAGGGAGGGGCTCACACGCAGGGAGGGGGCGAAGTGGCCCCCGGTGCCACAGAGGGCAAAGGATAAAGCGGCTGGGGGGGCCACAGCCCCACCAAACAGCATCGCAGGCACCTTACACCGCTTTGTGCCCTCGGGACAGCGGCACGGGGAGGGGGCACGAGCAAAGCGTGGGGCCGCGGGGGACAACGAGGAGCGGCCGGTGGCCGGGGGATCCCGGGTTCCCAGCGGGGGTGGGGGGATGAAAGGAGGGGGACGGTGCCCCCCCCGCCCCGTTCCCACAATTCGGCGCGGCGGGAACGGCCCCCGAGCGAGGCGGGGGAGGCACCGCGCCCGCCGCCACCACCCAGCCGCCCGACTGGTCCCGCTGGGTCCCACCGCGCCGGGGCGGCTCCGGCGGGGGACAGCGCCCGCGGCCCGGCCCTGCCCGGACCTGCCTCGAGCCCCGGGGCTGGGGGGGCCCGGCACGCCCCGACCCAGCGCGGCCTCCCCGACGGCGGGCGCCGCGGGGCATCCAGCCCGCACCGCTCCGTGCAGCGCCGCGGGAACCGGGGCGGGCGGCCCGGCGGACGGAGCGGAGCGGAGCGGAGCGTCCCCGCGGTGCGGTGCGGTGCGGTGCGGTGCGGGCACTGCGCTCCATCGCTGCGCCCTGCAGACGGCGCCGGGCGTGGCCGCGCACGCCGGCTGCTCCACCATGATGGAGCCGTGCCTCAGTTTCCCCACCGATGGTCTGATGGTGCCCCCAACCCCGCCGCGTCACCGCAGCTCCTTTCTCCCCTCAGCCCTTTCTTTCCCATCACCGCAGCTATTTATAAACCCATCCGCGGGGGGGCGGCTCCAGCCGGGGACACCCCCACACCGCCGTCACCGCCGTCACCATCCTGCAGCGCTCACAGAGCACGACAGAAGCGTTACCCCATCGGCACGGGGGACCCCAGCGCACCCCCAGCCCGGCCCTCTGGCGTCAGAACCCCTCCCCCGGCCTCGCCCCCCCCTCCCCCAGACCCCCGTACTCACTGGCAGGTGAAGGCGTGCTGTAGCCACTGATGGGCAGCTGGTGCTGGATGCCGGGCAGTGAGCTGGGCGGGGAGAGCCCCCCCAGCATGTGGGGGAAGAAGAAGGCGTAGGGGGTGACGGGGTAGCCGTTCAGGTGCCCCCCCCCGGGCGTGGGGCAGGAGCTGCTGTTGCTGGCCATGGCGGGGCCTCCGGCACTGGGGGGCACTCAGGCGGGGGGCGCGGGGGCCGAGCAGAGCATGGGGCTGTCCTGGCACGGAGCGGCTCCGGGCGCTGCGGGGGGAGCAGAGAGAAGGGGTTAAAATGGGGCACCGAACCCAGCGCTGCCCCGTGCCTCAGTTTCCCCACCCCAAAGCCCGGGGGGGCACAGCGGTGCCCGGCGCTGCCCCACAGATTACCGCAATCCTCTGATTAGCGGCACCACTGCGGGCACTGCGCTCATCCCGGCTTAGCGGCCCGGGGGGGGCTTAGGGGGGGCCAGAACGCGGGGCAGCCCCGGGCCTCACACCTGAATCCCACGGCACGGGGACAGAGTGCACAGGGTGACGTCGGGGGGGGGGACGCGGGGTTCCCCGAGGACGTCCCACATCACCACGGCTGCGTGCACCGATCGCGTCGGGGCTCAGCTGCGGGCACGGCCAGAGCGCTGCGCCCCACGCGGGGGGGGGGAGGCGGTGGGGAGGGGGCCGCGGGTTTCACAACGGGGCCCGGCTGTTTATTTAAGCGCTGGCGCGGGGCCCGGCGGGGGATGTTTATTTGCCGAGCGCTGGCTGCGGCCCCGCGGAGGCGGAAAAGGATCCCGAGGAACAAGGCTGGGCCGCCCGGGGAGGGGCACGGCGCTGCGCGACCCCCAGAGGGCACCCGGGACCCCCACCGCTGCGGGGGTGCACCGCCCCCACGGTGGGCACTCGGGGTGGGGGGGGAGGGGGCGGCCCCGGGTGCCCCGGCGGGGGCTGCAGCGCTGCCCAAGGGCACCGAGGAGGGGACGGCCCCCGGGGGGACCGCGGTGCCAATCCAGGGCGGGGGCTGCCAGCCCCCCCCCCCACTGCATTACCCGGGAGGGGGGGGGGGGGCGGGCGGCGCGGGAAGAACTGTTTATGTTCGCGGGTGCCAAGTGCAACCGGGCGCCGTGCCAACCGCGCGGGGCCACTCAACGCCTGCCGGCCCCCCCGCCCCCCCCCACCGCAGGGCTGGGACGCAGCACGGACACCGCCCGCCCGGGGCCGCCGCGCGTCTGTCCCAACCCGGGGCGCTTCGGGGCCCCACGGGGCGGCACCGCGGTGGGTGGGCGCGCGGCGGAGGACGGGGCTGCGGACCCCGCGTGCGCAGCCGCTCCCGAACGGGGAGTCCCGGGCACCCGGCCCCGTGCTCGGCTCCCGCAGGGGCCGTACGCGGTGGCAGCCCGTGCCCCCCCCACCCCCCCGCTCCTCCTCCGGCGCCTTTTCCTCCAGTCCCCCCGGCAGAGCTGGACGGGGCGCGCAGCTTCCTGGAATCCGGCGCCGCGTTCCAACCCCGCACGGAGCGGCCAAGTCCGGCCCCGCGTCCTCCGCCCAGACCGGGGGCGGCCCAGGGGAGCGGGCGGACGGACGGACGGACACGCGGAGCCCGGCCAGGCCGCACCTCGGGCTCAGCGCCGCCCCAACGCGGGGCGCGGAGCCCCCCGGCGCTGCTCCGCTCCCGTGGCACCGCGGGGTTCCGCTCGCCGCCCCGCAGCCCCAAACCCGCGGCGCTTCCTGCCGCGCGATGGCAGCGCCGGATGTGACACGGAGCGGTGGGGCCGCCGCCCTGCGTGTCTGTGTGTCCCCGCTGCCCCCGCCGACCCCCCCCCCAGGCTCCGCGGGGGCACCGGGGCCGTGCCCCCCCCCGCTGCCCCCCCTCGGCCCTGCCCGGCACGCCCGCGCCCGCAGCTTCCCCTCGCCGCTCTCGATTCCCAGGACGCGCGGTTTCGGTTCGGTTCGGCCCCGTGTCCTCGCGTCCCCCGTGGCGCTGCCGGCCCCCCAGCCCCCCCCCGCCCTCCATGACCCCGCGCAGAGGACGCCACCACCCGCACCCCACGCGCACAC